GTTACTCTATTTATTACATAACACCCCGGTAGTGATATCATTGTGGATCTTCCATTTGGTTAATTATATTTTTCGAGCTCTACTTTGGAAGGACAAAACCCCCTTCAAAGAAAATTGGGAACAAGATGTGGTGCCCTCGATGATGGGAACATGTCCTGGAGTCTGTGCACCTTTGCTAAACACTGCACAGGGGCTCTCCCAGTTATATATTGTGTTGAGAGACCATTTTACACCTAAGCAGGTACATGCTATGGGCATGCTGCAGAACCCTCCTTTTGAAAAATGCCATTGGGATCCTGGATATCATTTATTGTGGCGGTGTCCTAAACTACACCACTATGTGGTGCACATGTGGATCTGTTTTGTTTCTCTTTCTTTCCTCTCAAACCTGACTTAAACAATTTTGAAACTATGACTCACGGCAAAAAAACGGTCTTTTATTTAAGGATAGTGATCATATGAAACAATGTATTATCACATAGTTTGGCTCTCATAATAACAGAATTCACCCAATTAGCCCTGATTAAACGTTTACATACCCTTGAATGTTTGGCCCTGGTACAGACACACAAGGTGACACATGGTGGATTTTTAAATTGCAATTAGTGTCTGTGTATAAATAGTCGAGTTTGTTAGCTCTTGCATAAATGCACTGAGCAGACTAGATACTGAGCCATGGGGAGCAGAAAAGAACTGTGAAAAGACCTACGTAACAAGGTAATGAAACTTTATACAGATGGAAAAGGATATAAAAAGATATTCAAAGATACTGTCCAAAAGATTGGTTCATGTTGGAACCAATGAAGGTGGAGGCTCCTTAAGAATCAATTTAAAGAACTAGGCTGCAAGTTGAAGGGAAGGACCTCCAAGGTGATATTCTCTGAAATATTACCTATGCCATGCGCAACTCAGGAAAGACGAGGAGATTAGAGAACTCAATGCATGGCTGAAAACCTGATGTAAGAGGGAAGGATTTGGGTTTCTAGAGCACTGGGCTGACTTTTCATTGGGGTGCAACCTATTTGCTAGAGATGGTCTGCACCTAAATGGAAGGGATCTGCTGTGCTAGGGGAGAGGTTTATGGGAAGGCTGGAGGAGTATTTAAACTAGGATCAAGGGGGGAGGGAGAATTAGGTTATAACGGGGTAGACAAATCAGACAGGGGTCAGTACTTATAGGTGGGTGGAATGGGGAAAGATGGGGGGAAAGCTATGGCAGATAAGAAGGTTCCCATGTTACAAGTAACCAGTGGAATTGGTACCATTTGTAAGAAAATAAGAAATATGCAAAATACGTGTGAACAAGGTGTCAATGAATTAAAGTGTTTGTTCACCAATGCCAGAAGTCTGCCAAGCAAAATAGGTGAGTTGGAAGCTTTGTTGCATGAAGAGAGCTAAGATTTTATTGGTATTGCTGAATCTTGGCTTCATTCTTCACATGACTGGGCCATTTAATATTCCTGGCTATGTTTGCTTTCGGAGAGACAGAGTAAATAGGAAAGGTGGTGGTGTATATCTTTATGTGAGAAGTGATTTCAGAGCAAGTGTTAAAGAGGTTCTAGTTGATGGAGAGTGTGATGAGGCTGAAGTATTATGGGTGGAACTGCACATAGGGGTGAGTACTACAAAGGTAATCATTGGAGTTTGTTAGAAGCCTCCCAGTGTTGACCAATCCCCAAAAATTCTTCAAATATATTAATAGTAAAAAGGTTCGGTCCGAGCATGTAGGCCCTTTACAAAATAGTTTACAATGGGTGACTGGGGACAAAGAAAAGGCAAATTTATTTAATCTCTGTACATACAAAGGAGCATGGGGGAGTTCTTGTCCATAATGGGCAAGGTATTGATACAGCTCCAGATGATCCACATTGGCATGATCCAAAAATATTTAGACAGAATAAAAGGTGAATAAAGCACCTGGATCAGATGAAATACACTCATAGGCCCTTAAAGAATTGAGCTCTGTCATTTCAAAGCCATTGTTTTAGAGACTGTTTAATGACTGGCATAGTACCACTGGATTGGCGTAAGGCCAATGTGGTGCCAATATTTAAAAATGGGTCAAAATCTTTACCAAGTAATTACAGACCTGTTAGTTTAACTTATATAGTTGGGAAAATACTGGAGAGTTTAATAAAAGACCACATAGATGAGTTCTTGCTGGAAAAAAATATTTTAAGCAACAGACAGCATGTATTCATGAAAGACAGAAGTTGTCAAACAAATCTGATTTCTTTTTATGAGGGGGTGAGCAAAACCTTGGACAGAGGGGTGGCGGTGGACGTGGTATACTTGGATTTTGCAAAAGCGTTTGACACAGTTCCCCGCACACGGCTAATTTTGTAAGGTAAAGTCTACAGGCTTGAAATAATCCATATGTAAATGGGTAGACAACTGGCTAAAAGATCGTATTCAGAGAGTAGTGGTTAATGATTCATACTCTGAATAGTCTGGGGTCATCAGTGGTGTACCCCAGGGTTCAGTGTTGTGACCCTTACTTTTTAATATATTTATAAACGATATAGGGTCTGAGATTAAAAATCCCATTTCAGTCTTTGCAGATGACACCAAGCTGTGCAGTGAAATAACGTCCTTACAGGATGTCTTCAACTTACAAGCCGACCTGAATGCACTGTTTAATTGGGCAACTATGTGGCAAATGAGATTTAATGTTGATAAATGTAAGGTTATGCACTTGGGGTTAAGAATATGCATGCATCATACATACTAGGGGGGTACAACTGGGGGAATCAATGGTGGAGAAGGATCTGGGGGGTTCTGGTAGATCACAAGCTTAATAATGTCATGCAATGCCAAGCTGCAGCTTCTAAAGTGAGCAAAATCCTCTCTTGTATTAAAAGAGGTATAGACTCCAGAGGGAGAGATATCATATTACCCCTGTACAAATCATTAGTAAGACCTCATATGGAATATGCAGTTCAGTTTTGGACACCAATTCACAAAAAAGAACATTGGGGAACTTGAGAAAGTGCAGAGAAGGGCAACTAAACTGATATGCATGGAGGAGCTCAGCTATGAGGAAAGATTAGAGGAACTGAATTTATTCTCTCGAGAAGAGGAGATTAAGGGGGGATATGATCAACATGTATAAATACATCAGTGGTTCATATAGTGAACTCAGTGTAGAGCTATTCACCCTTAGGTCAACTCAGAGGACAAGGGGGCACTCTTTATGTCTGGAGGAAAAGAAATTTAATCTCCAAAACACGGAAAGGCTTCTTCACAGTGAGAGCTGTGAAAATGTGGAATAGACTCCCTCAAGAGTTGGTGCTGGCCAGCTCAGTGGATTGCTCCAAAAAAGGCCTGGATTATTTCTTAGATACACAGAATATAACTGGATACTAACATTTATAGGTAAAGTTGATCCAGGGAATATCCAATTGCCTCTCGGGGGATCAGGAAGGAATTTTTTTTCCCAGCAGGTGCAAATTGGATCATGCTTTGCTGGGGTTTTTTTTAGCCTTCCTCTGGATCAACTGTGGGTATAGGATTATAATTTTTTTTTTTTTTTTTCTATGGTTGAACTGGATGGATTTTTGTCTTTTTTCAGCCAGACTAACTATGTAATCTAATATATCCCAAAATCTGTGCTCCAAAAAAAAAAAAAGGGGGGGTGAAAACTACAAAAATATCAGCTAAACACTATATCCTGATACCAGGCATTTCATATAAAGTGTACAACAAAAAGTGCAGCGCTCAATTCATTAAATGTTAACCCCAATAGACTTATACAATTGAATATCCTATAATATGTGAAAATTATGTTACAGTGTCCATGAAATAAAACGATAATGCAGTCTCCTCCGGTCTCCTATTGCATAAAACCACATCCTCCTTCCATTTGGCTATAAAGAGGTTGGCCATACTAGAGGCAAACTTGGCCCCCCCTTTCTTTTGTAGGTAATATGAACCCTTATGTCAAAAATAACTATGGGTCATACAGAATTGAAGTAGATCCAAAATCCGGGGAGGAGGGTTACCAAACTATGTATTTTTGGTAAACAGTATATAGCTGGTAATCTGGGAGTGATCAATAACTGTTCAATCACGTAATAAGTAGAAAATTCAGATGTCTCTTGTTGCCAAGGTCAGGCAGACCAAGAAAGGCTGCAGCCACAACTGCCAGAAAAATTGTTCAGGATAAAAAAGAAAAACCACACAGCGAGGGGGCATGGCTCATCCATGGTGGCATGAAGAAGCTGTCAGGGCTCCAGGGTATAACCAGAGGTATGTGAACTGACGCAGGGAAACGCAGGCTTCAGATATGCTCTAAACAATATAATTTATTAATACTAACAATACATAAATGCAGTGCAATACTAAAACATAACACAGTGCAAACGAACCAAACCACCCACAGATAACAATACATACAATGCAAGCGTCGTCAGGCAGGCGGGTCAATAACAATCTGGCAGGTAGGAACAGGAGGAGCAGGCAGAGAGTAGTCAGGTCACGAGCCGGGTACAGCAACTAACGGGCAGGTAGGTACAGGGGGTCAGGCAGAGAATGGTCGGGGGTCACAAGCCAGGGATCAAACAGGAGAAGTCAGCAGAGGTCCGGATCAGGCAGGGTCGGCAACGAATCAGACAGGAACAGGAACAGGAATGCAGGTAACAAGATACAGGGGCCCATAGGAAAACACACACCAAGGCACAGACTGCAGGTCTGGCCATCCCTTAAATACACCTGCAATCAGCTTCAGGTGTTTTGGCTGACTGCAGGGTTGAGTCTCTGATTGCTGAGAGCACCCGCTGGCCAGCCCTGGTACTGCAGCCCAGAAGGCAGGTGAGTCCCACCATTACTGGCAAGTCCATTCCTGACAGTACCCCCCCCCCTCAAGGAGCGGCCTCAGGACGCTCCAAACAGTCCTAGCTGGGCAAAATGTTCCACCGCCCGGGTCTGGTAACTGGCGGGATATCAAAGACTGGCACATCGGGCTGGACTCCGGGCAGCGGCACATCGGGCTGGACTCCGGGCAGCGGCACATCGGGCTGGACTCCGGGCAGCGGCACAGGGCCCCCAGGAGGAGCGGCAGGCACAGGGCCCCCAGGCGGGGCGGCAGGCACAGGGCCCCCAGGCGGGGAGGCAGGCACCGGGGCCCACAGGAGGAGCGGCGGGCGCCGGGCCCCCCAGGCGGAGCGCCGGGCCCCCAGGCGGAGCGGCGGGGGCACCGGGTCATCAGGCACGACAGCGGGCATCAGGTCACCAGGCATCAGGTCATTTGGCTCGCCAGCGGGCACCGCGTCATCTGGCCAGGCAGTGGGCACCGAGTCACCAGGCACGACAGTGGGTTCTGAGTCAACTGGCATGACCGCGGGCACTGGGTCAGACATTGGATCATCTGGCTCGACAGCGGGCATCGGGTCACCAGGCATCAGGTCATTTGGCTCGACAGCAGGCACCGCGGTCATCTGGCAAGGCAGTGGGGTACCAAGTCACCAGGCACGACAGTGGGCTCTGAGTCAATTGGCACGACAGCGGGCACCGGGTCATCAGGTATTGGATTGTCTGGCTCGACAGCGGGCATCGGGTCACCAGGTATGACAGCGGGCACTGGGTCACCAGGCATCAGGTCGTTTGGCTCGCCTGCGGGCACCGCGTCATCTGGCAAGGCAGTGGGCACCGAGTCACCAGGCACGACAGTGGGCTCCGAGTCAACTGGCATGACCGCGGGCACTGGGTCAGACATTGGATCGTCTGGCTCGACAGCGGGCATCGGGTCACCAGGCATCAGGTCATTTGGCTTGACAGCGGGCGCCGCGTCATCTGGCAAGGCAGTGGGCACCGAGTCACCAGGCACGACAGTGGGCTCTGAGTCAATTGGCACGACAGCGGGCACCGGGTCATCAGGCACCGGATCGTCTGGCTCGACAGCAGGCACCGGGTCATCTGGCGCTGGATCGTCTGGCTCAACAGCGGGCATCGGGTCACCAGGCATGACAGTGGGCACTGGGTCATCAGGCATTGGATCGTCTGGCTCGACAGCGGGCATTGGGTCACCAGGCATGACAACGGGCACCGGATCATCAGGTACCGGATCGTCTGGATCGACAGCGGGCACCTGGTCATCTGGCGTTGGATCGTCTGGCTCGACAGCGGGCATCGGGTCACCAGGCATGACAGCGGGCACTGGGTCATCGGGCATTGGATCGTCTGGCTCGATAGCGGGCATCGGGTCATCTGGCGCTGGATTGTCTGGCTCGACAACGGGCATCGGGTCACCAGGCATGACAGCGGGCACTGGGTCATCAGGCATTGGATCGTCTGGATCGACAGCGGGCATCGGGTCATCTGGCGTTGGACCGTCTGGCTCGACAGCAGGCATCAGGTCACCAGGCATGAAAGCGGGCACCGGGTCATCAGGTACCGGATCGTCTGGCTCGACAGCAGGCATCGGGTCATCTGGCGCTGGATCGTCTGGATCGACAGCGGGCACCGGGTCATCTGGCGTTGGATCGTCTGGCTCGACAGCAGGCATCAGGTCACCAGGCATGAAAGCGGGCACCGGGTCATCTGGCGCTGGATCGTCTGGCTCGACAGCGGGCATCGGGTCACCAGGCATGACAGCGGGCACTGGGTCATCAGGCATTGGATTATCTGGCTCGACAGCGGGCATCGGGTCACCAGGCATGACAGCAGGCACTGGGTCATCAGGTACCGGATCATCTGGATCGACAGCGGGCACCGGGTCATCAGGCATTGGATCGTCAGGCTGGGTACAGACATCAGGCTGGGTAGAGACATCAGGCTGAAGTGCGGGTGCCGAGGCACCAGGCTGAACCACGGAAGGCAGGTTCTCAGACGGCAGGCTCACCGGTTGGGATACTGGCAGGATGGTACTGGTTGGAAAGAATTTTTGCTTTTTTCTGGTTTTAACTACTGGAGCATGCAAGTAAATGCAGGTCTGCAAACGAATGGAGCAGCTGAGGACAGAGAAGAGCTGGAAGATGGAACAGAGGAGGGAGCAGTTGCTACAGAGGACTTCTTTACAGGGTTAAAGAAAGGATAGGTGCAGCGAGTGGGAGCAGAGGACTGATATATGGTAGTTAGCAGAGTATACTGGGCCGTCGCTGGGGGTGCTGTCGGGGATGTAGGAAGAGTGCCTTGAGCGGAGGAATGACGTTGTAAGCTGACTGAGGCTGGGTGCAACAAGTCTGACCATGTCTGCAGTATGGGTTGAACAAAGCTCAGCTTACACAAAGCCTGTCTGGTCAAAGACTGCACTGCGTTTATACAATCCCTTAATACCTGTGCTGAACATGCAGCATAATGCTCCAAGAAGCAATCCACATCATCCTCTAATAACCATACCAGGGACTCTACCTGGTCTGCACTAAATGGTGGCAAAAAGTCATTCCTGCTTTCAGGGGTACCAGATGAAGCCAACTCTACACAAACCTGAATCAAAGGTTGCACCTCAGAGAACTCTGTGCCCTGATCTACTAGAACATGAGCGATCCGTATACATTCTAGCAGTTGATCCCGGGTATACTCCCTCAGAGTCTGATAAGCATATTCTCTGTCATCAAAAACCAGCAGCGACAAATACACAACCTCATCAAGATCCATCCTTCCCAGCAACAAGCCAAGATGGCTTCCCTGTGCAGCCACTTCTGGTCAGGATTGGCCTTGGTGTAATGTCAGGGCTTCAGGGTATAACCAGAGGTATGTGAACTGACATAGGGAAACGCAGGCTTCAGATATGTTATAAACAATATAATTTATTAATACTAACAATACATAAACGCAGTGCAATACTAAAACATAACACAGTGCAAACGAACCAAACCAAACCACCCACAGATAACAATACATACAATGCAAGCGTCGTCAGGCAGGCCGGGTCAATAACAATCGGGCAGGTAGGAACAGGAGGAGCAGGCAGAGAGTAGTCAGGTCATGAGCCGGGTACAGCAACTAACGGGCAGGTAGGTACAGGGGGTCAGGCAGAGAATGGTCGGGGTCACAAGCCAGGGATCAAACAGGAGAAGTCAGCAGAGATCCGGATCAGGCAGGGTCGGCAACAAATCAGACAGGGACAGGAACAGGAACAGGAATGCAGGTAACAAGATACAGGGGCCCATAGGAAAACACACACCAAGGCACAGACTGCAGGTCTGGCCATCCCTTAAATACACCTGCAATCAGCATTCCGGGTGGAATGCCTAAGAATACACCTAGACTGATGACATCTAGTGGCCGACTTGCTGATGACATCTGCCTGGTATCATAAGTCCAGAGCACCAGGAGCAGGTCTTAATTGCTCCATGCGCAATTTATGCGCTATCTGGTTAGTGCATTATTTGTACATTCACAACAACACAAGAGTCACGGTTTTCTTGATCATGGACTGTTGGAACATCTGCACTTAATCACTTTTTTATAAGGACTGAGTTATCTAACATATTTAACATATGTTATTGTGCATTATTTAATTATTCATTATTTAATTATTCATCTTTTCCATCACTTTATTATACATATATAAGCGCTGCATACTTATTTTATATTTCCATACTGGGTTGAAAGGTTGCCTTTATGCTAGCGGCTTTATATTTGATTATTGTTCCCAGCGCTCAATTACTACTTTCTCAAGATCACAGGTCCTGCTCACTCCATCTACCCATGCCAAAGCAGGAAAAGTACATAGGAACACCCGGCACCCCTCACCACCCTTACATCACTCATTATCTCTTGGTAAGGGGAGCTTTGTATCCCGCCATGAGTTCCAACATAGCGCCCTCCCACCAGCAGCTGCCATACTCTGGTCAACCTCTCTGTGCATCTGACTTCTGCACACCACTCTCTGTGGCACCGGCTCCAACCCAGAGCTCTTTCAGAGCAGACTCCCCAATTCCTACCCCAAAGCTTCCGACAGCTGGCTCACCGAACACTTCTCCCAGGTCCCTCTTAACACTGCAGCCATGGAGGATCCTGATATACGCCAGCTTATACAGACTCTCCATACCAAGGCTGACATCCAGCACATGGTCAGTTACCTGGGTTCTGAGGGAAGTGATAGAAGACATCTGCTCAAAAACTAGAATAGCAGACTTCCAGCTGAGAGCCCTGGAATCTCAGCGTGAAGACTGTGCCTCTCCATACCCAGTACCAGTTCACCCTCTGGAGTTGATTGATGGACTGACAGCTGTTTGCTGTCAACAATTTCAGAATTCCTCAGTCCCTCCATTATGGTCGGGATGGGGATACTGTCTCATGCCTTTCCCTATTGATCGAGCCTTTGTTTAGCTGTCTCGGACTTAGACTCTTATCTACTTGAATGTTTGTTTTTTTGTTTATAATTGTGAGGTCACCACCCAATGCGTCCTGATTTGGGAAACTTATCGATTGTGGTCTGGGGAGCTGGAAGTCTCTTGTCATACTTTTGTGGCTTGGGCCGCATTAGGAGAGATAATGTGCAGCACTATATTAACCACTTTCCATCCTGAGGATTTACCCCTCTTAACCAGTTCCCTACCGTGCTATAGTCGAAGGAGGCTACAGCGTGGTTGTCTGGTTCTGTCCATGGACGTCATTCCAGGATACTAGGACAGTGCAAACACCCCTAAATGACCCCTTTTCAGAAAGTAAACACCCTAAGCTATCTGTTGAGAAGAATATTGAGTCTATGGAAGATTAATTTTTTTTCCACATGTTTTTGGAAGATGACAAAAAAAGTTTTTTTTCCCCACAAAGTTGTCATGTAAATTATATATTTCTCACACAAGCCATGGGTATATGTGGAATTACACCCCAAAATACATTCTGCTACTTCTACCTAGTATGGGAATACCACATGTGTGAGACTTTTTAGGAGCCTGACACATACAGGAGCCTGAAATCCAATGACCACTTTGAAAGCTTGAAGGTGCGCAACTTTATTTTCATGTCCTCACTACCTTCGGAGGCCCTGAAATGCCAGGATAGCACCCCCCCCCCCATGAACCCTTTTTGGAAAGTAGACACCCCAAGGAATTTAAAAAGAGGCATGGTGAGTATTTTGCAGATCTAATTTTTTCTCACAAGGTTTTGAAATATATTTTCCAAACACTTGTGGCAACAAACGAGATCTGCAAAATGCTCACCATGCTTCTTATCAAATTCCATGGGGTGTCTAATTTAAAAAAAAGGGGTCATTTGGGGGGGTTTGGTGCTATTCCGGCATTTCAGAGCCTCCGAAACTGTGATAGCTAGTCAGGAAGTGTAATGACGATATAAAGCCCTTTTAAAAGACTGAAAGTGCTTATTGGCTTTTGGGGTCCTGTATTTGGCTAGACTGCCAAACAGTCTCACATGTGGTACCCACATACTCAGAAGAAGTAGCAGAATGTATTTTGGGGAATAATTCCACATATATCCATGGCATGTGTGAGCAATACATCTTTTAGGTGACAACTTTGTGCAATAAATCATTTAACTGACAATTATGTGTTTTTTGTGTCATTTTCCAAAAATTTGTGGTAAAAAAAATAAATTCTTCTATTGACTCAACATGCCTCTCAGCAAATAGTTTGGGGTGTCTACTTTCCAAAAAGGGATTGTTTTGGGGGGTGGGGGCATTTTATGCCACACATCATTCATTCTTCTAACCACTTGAAGACCAAGTCTTTTCTGACACTTTTTTCACATGAAAAAAAATCAGTACTTTTTGCTAGAAATTACTTTGAACCCCCAAACATATTTTTTTTTAAAGCAGACAACCTAGTGAATAAAATGGTGGGTGCTGCAATTCTTTGAATAATCACTGCGCGAGTACTGTGTGACAAACGCAAATTTAAAAAAAAAAAATACAAAATAACAAAAAATACTTTTTTTTTTAACTTTTAATGCACAAAAACACAATATTTGGCCAATTATTTGGTAAAATATAAAAGATTATGGTATGCTGAGTAAATAGATACCAAACATGACATGCTTTAAAACTGTGCATGCCCATGCAATGGTGACAAACAGCATACATTTTAATATCCATAGGCAACGCTTTAAAAGCCTTTACAAGCTACCATTTTAGATTTACAGAGGAGTTCTAGTGCTAGAATTATTGTCCTTGATCTGATGTTCATGGCGATACCTCACATGCATGGTGCAACCGCTGTTTATATACTGACACGAGGTTAATGCTCGTACACGCAGGTTTTTTTTTAAAGTTATTTAGATTTTTAACATTTTTACACTGTCCCTTTTTAATTTTTTTTTTTTTTTTGGATCACTTTTAATGCTATCACAGGGAATGCAAATCACCTATAACTTCAATGGGCATTGTCATGTACTCTTTTTTTGTGAAATCTGGGGTCTATCAGACTCTAGATATCTCCTCTGCCTTTACATTATCAAATCTCACCAAGATCGATCTGATCAGATGCTTTCCCAATTTACAAATGGCTTTGTTTATATCCTGCGAAACTGAGGTAATGAAATGCTCCTAGCTTCCCGATTTCTTAACTATAGAGATGATTTGCAACATTCCAGTCTCCAATCAGCTCTATAGTCATCTGGCAGAAATGCCAGCTGTATTCTCAGGTTCCCCCGATGGCACGGGACTGCCCGAGAAGGCCGTGGAAGGCAGCGGGGGAGGGGTGCATCATCACCCGCTGCTTGTAAAAGTAATCCTGCAGCTAATTAGCCACTAGGATTGCTTTTACATGAAAGGTGATTGCTGGCTGAAAAAAAACCATACCAGGATGATGCCTGCAGCTGTAGGCATCATCCTGATATAAACCATTTAATGTCCAGTAATGTACCAGTACATCGCTGGTCCTTGTTGGGTATTTATGCTATGTTTTTTTTTATATGCAGTTTGTGGGCTGAATGAAAAAAAGAAAAGAAATCTCTACCGGAAAAATTTGAATATACCACCCTGCATCACCCCACTTCTAATGGTGGGCACACATTAGGTTGCACGGTGCCACATGCGCCAATTCTAAGATTTAACAAATGTATATATTGTGGCACCCCATATAAGTGTATATAAGTGGTACCCCATATGGAAAAAGGATGACACCAAGTCCCAAACTATTTTGCCACTACTCCCCATGTAGTCTGGGCATCCAGGGGGCTCCACGTGACTATCTTTTCCCTCGTAAATCCGAAACTTGTATGTATAGCCTGTTGCCCTCACAGTTTTTACAGTAATGTGCGTCTATAAAAAAAAAAGCGACAATTTTGAGAAAAAAACAATATTTTGAACTTTTTGCTATTAAACATGTTGAATAAAAAAATTTAAAAATCAAATTTTGTCATAAAATTTGGCCAAAATGTATTCTGCGACATGTCTTTGCTAAAAAAAAAAAGTCTCAATACGTGTAAATTAATTGGTTTACATGAATGTTATAGCGTTTACAAATGGCGGTATAGATACTGGAATTTTTTTTTTTTGTTTATACTAATAATGGGGGCAATCAGTGACTTATAGCGGGACTGCGGCGAGCATTCTGACACTGGGGGGAACTGACTTGGAGTCACTCACATCCCCAGTGACACCAATACAGTGATCAATGCTAAAAAAAAAAAAATTTACTGACACAGTACTAATGGTACTGGGCAGGAAGGGGTTAACATTTGGGGACAATCAACTGTGTGATGGGAGTGTTTTTTACTAGGGGGTGGGAGGGGTGTGCTTCACTGTAAAATCCTCTGATCAGGATGATTGTGCTCAGCCATCCCGAGCAGTGTGCCCAAACTGACAGGGAGGAGGGCATGTTGTTGGTAAACAGTGCAGTCCTCCTCCCTGTCAGTTATCACCGGTAATCACCCGGGGCCACGATTGGCAACACGTGTAGGGCGGTCGCACGTACTGTGGGCGGGCCCTAAGCGGTTAATGTACAGTATGGTTTCTGCTTATTCCAGTTTTTTAGACACTGATTTCTTAGTTTAGTCCCCGTTGTTCTTCCAGTTAATAAATGTGTGTGCCCTCTTATGCTAAAATTGGAAAATCTACATAAAAATACGACTAGTTGTGGACTCAACTGGAATCTTAGGTTTGTTTAAATATATTCACATTAAATAATTCAAAAGGGCTGGTGGTTGGTGGCATATAATCAATTCTTTATTCAACATAGACATTTCTAAAAAACAGAAAAATTCGTACCACACTCCACAGGTCCCAAGTGACAACCCCTTAAAGGGGAGACACCCATCAATATAGATTGAGAACAATATTATCTCTGTCCATGGAATAATGCATATGCTCCATATATAGAATAACAAAGCTTGAACAGATCTCCTTGAAGGAAGTGTGCTCTACATAATGTGTTTT